TCTTACTAAAACAAAAGACTAAATGCCGGCGGTTGGCGGGTGCCCTGGTGTGGTTTGCTCCTTCTTTCCTATCAAACATCTATCATCCTTATCTCCCCTCCTTCTTTTTAGTGTTTGTTACTCCCTTGTAACACCTCTAATCTTCGGCACTTGTATGACCTTATTGTGTTGCAAGTGCCGTAAAACACTTTTATGAAAACAAAGTTTCCTATCAAACATCCTGTTTTCTTTATCTCTCCTCCTTCTTGTCTTTTTAATTGCTTTCTAGTTACACCTCTAATCTGTGGCACTTATATATGACTTATTAGTGTTGTGAGTGCCGTAAAACTTTTACTAAAACTAAAGACTACTGTTGTGAAATGTAGCTGAAATATCTTCCATCATGTTTGTCTGTTTTCTGTTTTTCCCAGAATGTGCGGGATTTGACACAAGGAGACAGAATGTGACTTATTTTTGTTGCGAGTGCTGTAAAACTCTTACTAAAACTAAATGTTGTGAAATGTAGCTGAAATATCTTCCATGTTTGTCTGTTTTCTGTTTTTCCCAGAATGTCCGTGATTTGACACAAGGAGACAGAATGGGTCGTCGCCTGGAGCTGCTGTACTTTGACACCACCTACTACCCGGTGGCTGCCTTCAGCTGTGCTTTCTTCCTCTACCTCTACAAGTAAGTCCACACCAACCGACCGACACTTTGATCGGATCAATGGATCTGTATGGCAGGGTTCTCAATGGGAATATACCGGCCCAATGGTTTTATTTCGGTCTAGAAAGGTTGCTCAAATAATGAAGACAAACTTTGGGGATTCTTTTTTTTTTTTTTTCTCTTTTTTTCTTTTTCTCTTTTTTTCTTTTTTTTTTTTTTTTTTTTTTTTTTTTGGATATGCCGCTGTTTTCGAATGTACTATTGAACCGTGTTCTGTTTAACTGTTGGTATATTACGAATCCAGCAACTGCTGGGCTTTTACTATTCTGTAGTGGGTGGTTGGCGGGTGCTCAGCTGGTGTGGTTTGCTCCTTCTTTCTTATCAAACCTTACACCTGTTGCCCTTATCTCTCCTCCTCCTTTTTTGTGTTTGTTACTCTCTTGTAACATATCTAGTCTTCGGCACTTATATGACCTTATTGTGTTGCAAATGCCGTATAACTTACTAAAACTAAACAGATCAGCTTGGTGGGTGTTTGGTGGGTGCTCTGTTGTGGTTTGCTCCTTCTTTCCTGTCATATCAAACATATATAGTCCTTATCTCTCTTCCTTTTTGTATTTGTTATAGATCTATTACTTTCCAGTAACGCCTGTAATTTTCAGCATTTATTTATACGATCCATTTGTGTTTCAAGTGCTATAAAAGTGTTTCGCTTCCTAATACTAGAAAGACTGGCCTGATTATAAATGTGTCTGGTCAGAAAACCTAGCCAGGCAGAGCGAAAGAATGCAGTCCCCACCCATCCTTTGAGGTTATGGTGTGTGATTTGAGTGACAGCGGAGTTGCACCCCCTCTGTTTTATGGGACGGCAGTCGTTTTTATCTCCCCCCAGTCCACCGGGGGGTCTTTTGTCTACTTGACAGAACACTACCTCCGAATTACAACGGTCTATCTGATATTTTGGACCGTTTTGGGTTACTAACTAAGACTGTGGGTGGTTGGCGGGTGCTCTCATGTGATTTGCTTCTTCTTTCCTATCAGTATCAAACATCTATCGTCCTTTTCTCTCCTCCTTCTTTGTTTGTGTTTGTTACTCTCTTGTGACACCTCTAATCTTCAGCACTTATATGACTTTATTGTGTTGCAAGTGCCGTAAAACTGTTACTAAAACTAAGACCGTGAGGCCAGGAACCAAATGTTCTATCTGCTCTATCAAAATCATAAGATTATTTGGAGTCGTTATGAAGATATTCAAAGAATTGCATTCGAAAAGGCTTGACCATGTTGTGAAACTCAAAATGTGAAGCGTCCAATTTCTCAAAACTGGGTACTGAGCAGATAGAACTTTGTACTTCTAGGGTAGCAAATAGGCTACTTCACTGCTACAGTAGGCTACTTCTCTGCTACAGTAGGCTACTTCACTGCTACAGTGGGCTACTTAACTATTACAGTAGGCTACTTAACTATTACAGTAGGCTACTTAACTACTAACTACTACAGAAGGCTACTTAACTATAACAGGAGGCTAATTAACTATAACAGGAGGCTACTTAACTACTACAGTAGGCTACTTAACTACCACAGTAGGCTACTTAACTGCTACATAAGGCTACTTAACTACTACAGTAGGCTACTTAACTACCACAGTAGGCTACTTAACTGCTACATAAGGCTACTTAACTACTACATAAGGCTACTTAACTACTACAGTAGGCTACTTAACTGCTACATAAGGCTACTTAACTACTACAGTAGGCTACTTAACTACAGTGAAGGAGTGCACAATGACCTCTTTGTTAAAGTTTCCATTATGTGGTTGTATTGTGTGGGTGGTTGGTGGGTGCTCTGGTGTGGTTTCCTCCTTCTTTCCTATAGAACATCTTTCATTCTTATCTCTCCTCCTTCTTGTCTTTGTATGTTTCTCTCTAGTAACATCTCTAATATTTGACACTTATATGACATATTTGTGGTGCAAGTGCCGTTAAACTTTTGCTATAACTAATCAGAAAAACTTTTTTGTGTGTGTGTTATCGTTGATGTAAATATTGTCACTTTTGCAGATATGCCAGTCCCAAGTTGTCGTCCAAGTTCTGCGCTAAGTACAGTCTGCTCTCTGAACAGGAGCAGGTGGAGTGGAACAACAGGTGAGTGAGTCAGTCAGTCAGTCGGTCAGTGTGTCTGTCAGTCAGTCAGTGTGTGAGTCAGTCAGTCAGTCAGTCAATGTGTCTGTCAGTGTGTGAGTCAGTCAGTCGGTCAGTGTGTGTCAGTCAGTCAGTCAGTCAGTGTGTGAGTCAGTCAGTCAGTCAGTGTGTCTGTCAGTGTGTGAGTCAGTCAGTCAGTCAGTCAGTCAGTGTGTCTGTCAGTGTGTGAGTCAGTCAGTCAGTTCTAAAGTGAAGCTTTTAAATGTCCAAAATGTGGCAAACTTTACTCTGCCAGAATTGGTCTCATCGGCCACAGCAGAAGCTACAAGTCATCGCAACCTTTGTTGTTATCGATCGTCGTAACCTTTAATTCTTCCAATTCTTCTATTTTGCTGGAGAAATATTCTCTGATGCAGACGTATTGGTCATCGTCAGACATTGGTGGACGACCTATTTTTGTTAATATTATTATTATTATTATTATTATTATTATTATCCATATTATTATTATTATTACTATTAATAAAAAGAAATTTGATGTATTGCTGACAATACTGAGGAATTCCCCCTAGCTCTAACTTGCCCTCTGTTTTTACTTGTCAATATGAAGTATGCTAATCTGCACTTCTATGGCCTAATTGTGTTGCAAATGCCGTAAAACTCTTACTACAACTGAACTAAGAAGTATTTGTGAAGTGTGCTGTGTTGTGTCCTGGGCAGGGTTGGCTCCACGGTGCACTCGGTGGTGATCAGCTTCGTCTGCGCCTACACCATGCTCTATGATGATGAGATTGCTGAGGAGCCCATCTGGTGAGTTTCTTGTGCGTGCGTCTCAATATTCCGCTATTTAGCCGATTTCCGCTACAGCCAATTCCTCCGCTAAACTCTGCTACCGCGACAGTGGACCAATCAAAAATTGTTTCTGTACATATTTAAGTTTGTAAATATTTGGTAAGTGACTCTTTTACTTGAAATGATCTTCCAAACCCTCAAATTGGTATGAAATAACCTTGCTTTGATAAATTGATGGTTTTTGTTTCAGCACTCTTGGGTTAAACAGTCTTATAATAATAATGGGTCTGTCGCGGACATGGTCTTCTGTCGCGTTCACGCTGAAAGTTCCTCCGTTTTTTTAAATTCTGAGTTGAGACCCATGATTATGTGTAGAGAGGCAATCTGGCTCAACATCAGTCATCGCTGTTGCCTTTCTCACCCTGGGTCAGGGTATAGGTCTTTGCCAATAGGTAGGGGTTTCTTCATATACTTTAATAAGAAAATTATAACAATAATTTTTGTGTGTTCAAATTCTTAAAAATATGTCATCATAGTTATGTCCGGAAGAATTTGACCTGATGTTTATGTTACGCCAGTGAGACAGCTTAGCATGCCGTCTGTAGGTCTGTAAATACATGGTTTTGTAGGAGGAGATACATATATGAGGAGAAAAATTCAAGTAAAAATGAAATATTGAAAACTCTATCATCAGCCCCCTGTGCTACATTTTAGGTCCCCACCTATTGGCAAAGGCTCATATACTTGTCCACTGTGTTGGGGTCACTGCAGTCAGAACATGTCCATCTCTGCTCTCCCCCTCTTCAGGATCTATCCCAGAGTCTGTCTGCATATAGTCCCCATCATAATCTGGTTTGAGATCCATGGGCTCGTATAGGTCACGGACAAACACTTTCCACCTTTCCCTATCCCGGCTAGCCGCTTGATGTTATTGATGGTCAGGCTACCGGACTTGTCATCGTGAGGTTGTCGGTGGTCTAGTGGTCAGGCTACCGGACTTGTCATCGTGAGGTTGCAGGTTCGGGGGTTCAAGCCTCGGGCCTGACATTGTGTGTCCTTAGGACAAGGCACTTTACACAAATTTCATTCACTTCACCCAGGTGGGAATGGGTACCGTGCCATAAACAGCAATAGATCTCGACCCTATATTAGTGTCTGAGAGCCTGTGAAATGGCAGCTTGCACTCTATGCTTCCCAGAAAGTTGAGAATGTTTCAGAATGCTATCAGATATGCTGGGGCAATAATATAGATTGTACAGTGCATAGAGCTTGCTGTTGAGAGGGAATTTGCTCTATGCAAATGCTAACTCTATTATTAGTATTATTATTATTAGTAGTATTATTAGTAGTAGTATTATTAGTAGTATTATTATTATTATTACAAAAGGGGTTTCAATTCCCCAAGATTGCTGAATGGTCCGAGGTTCTGTACACTTTTGCACTTTTTGTAATTCTGTTTTCTTTCAACCCTGTCATTTTAAAATGATATCACTTCATACATGTTAAAATTTAACAAGATCTTAAAGCTGCTTCCTAAACAAGGAACATTTTGTGACGTGTGGCGCACAATGTTGCACTGAGCGGTGGATGTGATGTGGTGGCTTTGTTTGTCAGGTGGGACTCCCCCGTGGTGAGGACGAGCTGTGCTGTCGTGGCAGGATACATGACCTCAGGTACTGACGCTGGCCGAGAGTCGCATCTTGTTCATTTTGCTGTGGTAACAATTAAGGGAGCTCAGAGTTAAGGCAGTGGGTGGTTGGCGGGTGCTCTGGTGTGGTTTGTTCCTTTTTTCCTATCAAAGTGGGTGGTTGGCGGGTGCTCTGGTGTGATTTGCTCCTTCTTTCATCAAACGTCTATCGTCCTTATCTCTACTCCTTTTTTTTGGCTTTATATGATCTTATTGTGTTGCAAGTGCTGTAAAACTCTTACTAAAACTAAAGCTAAGAGTCAAGGCAATCTATGGGTTAAGAATTTTTTTATGTTTCGGTTTCTGGTTTTCTGCATCCATTTTTTGTGCATGATTACTTGTTCACTTTTGTCTGTCTGCGATTAAAAAGAGATAAAGACAAATCACTCTGTATAATCTGTGGGTTGTTGGCGGGTGTTCTGGTGGGGTTTGCTTTCTTTCCTATCACAAATCTGTCGTCCTGATCTCCCCTCTTTATTTGTATTTGTTACTCTCTTGTAACACCTCTAATCTTCGGCACTTATATGACCTTATAGTGTTGCTAGTGCTGTAAAACTCTTACTAAAATTAAAACTAAGAGTCAAGGCAATCTGTTGGTTAAGAATTTTTTAATGTTTCAATTTGTGTTTTCTGTACCCATTTTTGGTGCATAATAACTTGTTCACTTTTACGTTTCTGTCTTTCTGTGTGAGTGAGAGAATGTTTTATACGTTTCTGTCTTTCTGTGTGAGTGAAAGAATGTTTTATAACTTTCTTTCTGCGTGCAGACGTGATCGTTATGAGCATCCACTACAAGCAGATAGGGGACGTGTTCTACGTCCTGCATCACGGAGCTTCGATTTATGCCTATTATTATGTGATGGTGAGTCGCTTTTCTCTCTTTGTCACAGTAGCTACACATACGCACACACGCACACACACATTGGGTCGATAGTGCTGTAAAACACATACTCAATCAATCAATCAAAAAATGCACGCACACCTGCTTACACGAACGCATTCGCGCACATACGTACACACACACACACACACACACAAACACACTTTCTGTCTCTCTCTCTCTCTCTCTCTCTCTCTCTCTCTCTCTCTCTCTCTCTCTCTCTCTCTCTCTCTCTCATACACACACACACACATATACAAACACACACACTCACACACACACTCACACACACACTCACACACACACTCTCTCACACACACATACTCTCACGCACACGCATACTCTCTCACACACACACACACACACCCCCCCTCAAAGTGGCAGGGTATGTAACAATGACCGTCTCAGGTGACAGATTCTTGCATGACTTATGTTACAGTTACAATGAGACAATGTAGAAGTAGTAGGCTACATATCCAGCCTGTATTGTATCTCATTAATATTTCACCTTAATGAAATCTTCCATAAAATATTCTTCACATAATTCTGTCCCCGTCGTTTTATGCAAGAAAAATTTTGAAATTATACAAAGTGAGCCCAAAAATGTGAAATTATGTGATTCTGTCAATTTTAACAAAGAATGACAAAGGAAAATAATCAGAAATTATGCAAAAAATGAACAAATTATGTGGGGTGCATAAAACCACGGGGACAGATAGTTTCATTCTGTAGTCACTTCATATCATTTTACTTTTATACATTGATTGTTACACTTTTATCTTGCAATGATTGATGTAAGAAAATGGGGTTGGAGTTTTTTCTTGTGTGTTACTGTCTACCTACCACCTCAGTTCTTCTGTTAACTAGTGGTTAGGCTATCGTAATCATGAGGTTGTTGGTTCAGTTAGTCTAGTGGTTCGGCTATCGTAATCCTGAGGTTGTGGGTTCAGTTAGTCTAGTAGTTAGGCTATCGTAATCATTTGGTTGCGGGTTCGGGGGTTCGAGCCAATGGCCCGACGTTGTATCTTTGGGAAAGGCACTTTACACAAATTTTCCTCACTTCACCCAGGTGGGAATGGGTACCCGGCCATAGACAGCGAAAGATCTTGTCAGAATGTTAGTGTTTTAGCGCCAGTAAATGGCCGCTTTCACTGTATGCTTCCCAGGAAGTTGAGACTGTTTCAGAATGCTCTCAGGTCTGCTGGGGTACTAGTATAGATTGTGAGGTGCATAGAGCTTGCTGTTGAGCGGGGATTTGCGCTATACAAATGCTATTTATTATTATTATTATTATTATTATTATTTGTTATTATTATTATTTATTATTATTATTAATGAAAATATTCTGTTGACTCTTAGTGAGGAAATGATGTTCATTTGATGAATGAAATGTTTGTACTGACACTGGACGCTAAATCAGAATGCTGATCGTAGTGTCTGATTGGATTGAAACTATCGTATATGAATGACTGTGGGTCTGTGTGTGAGTGTGTTCATACATTAGTGTGCGTGTATGTGTGTTGGGGAGAGAGAGAGATTGGGAGAGAGAGAGTCTCTCTCTCTCTCTCTGTCTCTCTCTCTCTCTGTCTCTGTCTGTCTGTCTGTCTGTCTGTCTGTCTGTCTGTCTGTCTGTCTCTCTCTCACTCTCTCTGTCTCTGTCTGTCTGTCTCTCTCTGTGTCTCTCTCTCTGTCTCTGTCTCTCTCTCTCTCTCTCTCTCTCTCTCTCTCTCTCTCTCTCTCTCTCTCTCTCTCTCTGTCTCTCTGTCTGTCTGTCTCTCTCTCTCTCTCTCTCTTTCTCTTTCTTTTTAAAAAAATTTTTTACCGTGCCCATTTCTATCAACTGCGGCTTGTGTGTTAAGCAGTTTCAACAAAGCATGGAGCATTTGAGATTTTAAAGTTAGTGTTGGTGAAAACATAATGTGAGGTAGCGTGGTGAAATCAGACGCTCGTCAAAATCATGAAATCCAAGAAGAACCAGTTTTCTTCCGCTAAGCAATTTTTGTTTTTTGGCTCAACATCTTTTATGTCTATTTAGACACAAGTACTTGTGAGGATTTTTGCCGAAAAACGTTGATTAAAACCACAAATTTAATGTTAATTTACAGTTTCCATGGACTCTTCAGCTTTGAAAGTTATCAAGCTTTGGCGATCATTTTCTCGCTAATTTTACCTCTGAGACCAGGTCACCCCCACCCCTTTCAATAAAAAAATATCTCCTCTTCTATTGAAGATGAATGGGTCATTTTTTCATTGAAAGCAAGACAAACGAACAAGCTTTAAGATGCTACCAATAACTCAGTATGCCCAAAAGTTGACGAGTGCCTGCTTCCACCGCGTCGTGACAAATAGAGAAATTGTGATGTGTGCCCTGAAAGTTGTTTCTTGTTTGTCCCCCCCCCCCACTGAAATGTTACTTCATTTTTATAAAATAAAGTTTATCAGTAAGGTACACTTGTAAGTATAACAATGGCTCCAACTGGGAGAATTTTTCCTTTATCAATTTCTGAATGTTCTTCTTTTTTTCCCCCCAGACATATGGTGTTTTACCGTACTTTGCAAACTACCGTTTGGTAGCGGAATTTTCTACTCCTTTTGTGAACCAGAGGTCAGTGGAATGTAAAGTCAAGGTCGTTGTGTTGTGTCGTTGTGCCTCGTGGGCAACAGTTATAATTATGTATGTGATTGTGTGGTGGTTGGCGGGTGCTCTGATGTGGTTTGCTTCCTTCTTTCCTATCAAACGTGTATCGTCCTTGTCTCTTTTCCTTCTTTTTTTTTTGGTGTTTGTTACTCTCTTGTAACACCTCTAATCTTCAGCACTTTCATGACCTTATTGTGTTGCAAGTGCTGTAAAACTCTTACTGAAAAAAAAAAAATGTAGATGCCCGTAATTGTAAGGCTTACTGACAAAGTGAGTTACCTCTCAGATTTTTAGCCCCATGGACATAGATCTAAGGTCCAATAAATTTACAGGTTGAGTTTATTGATTTATAGTAGAAATTGATCAAAGACATTTTAAACAGGAAGAAAGAGGTATCAGTTGAATATCTACAAATCTGACCCCTGTGTTGATTTTTAGCTGATATCTCCTTTATTTCATGGATAGCTAGAAGTTACTCATTTTGTCTGCTGGCTTCACATTTATCGTTACGGTATCGTAAACTCATCATACCCCCGTGGCAGTGCTACTGACTGAAGTGTCTTTAGGCCATTCCCAAAGGGAGGACATTAACCATGTTCATATGCACAGTAGAGCTGTAAATAGGCTGATTTATCAATGTCATGCTCATAACTGTGGCTGAACTGCAACAGGGAACTGCTGCTTTTTCTTTCCTGATCCTTACCAACGTCATTTTTTCCCTCTACTTCTTTTGTATGTTTGTCGCTCTCTTGTGACCCGCTATTTCCGGGGTGCCTTGATAGTCGAAGCAGACTTTGTGCTGTTGAGGTTAGAGAGGTGAGCAGAGTAAGTCTTGATTCCCTGTTTAGACTTCTCTGTTGACATCCACCCCTTGGCGCTCATTTGACCATATGCAGTTAGTTGCAAGCGCCACGTATTAAAACTGAACCGAGGTGTATTTCAAATTTTTATGGGTTTTTGATGTTTCTTTCAGCTTCGTATGTAGATAATGTTTTTTTCTGTTCACCCTGTTCATGAGATGTATTTTTAATTTTTGTAATGTTTGTTTTTTTTAAATTTTAGTTGTTGGCAGGTGCTCTTATGTGGTTTGCTCCTTCTTTCTTATCAAACATCTATCGTCCTGATCTCTCTTCCTTCTTTTTGTGTATTTTACTCTCTTATAACACCTCTTATCTTTGGCACTTATATGACCTTATTGTGTTGCAAGTGCTGTAAAACACTGACTAACATTATACAAATTTATTTTCATTTTTCAGGTGGTTCCTCACCCAGCTTGGCTACGAGAGGACGAGCCAGGTTTTTGTCACCAACGGCGTGGCGATGGCCGTCACGTTTTTCTCAGCACGTATAGCTACAATGCCCTCGTACTGGCACCGCGTGTTCCGCGTGTACAACACGCCCGCCTTCAACCGGCTGGGCTACATACAGCTGTGTCTTATCATCCCCTGTCTCGTCCTCGATGTCCTCAACATTTACTGGTTTTACAAAATTTGTGCAGGGGCGTATAAAATCTGCTCCATGTTTTACGTCAGGGATAAAGATGTGAACGTTACAAATGATAAAAAATTGTTACCGTCAACGCTTGACGGTACGTTTTACAACAAGCAAACGCTAATACCGAGCCATCCTGCGAGTCGTAAACATATCGACTGAGTGGGTCAATATGTGTGTGCGGTTTTTGCGTCGTAGATGTATTCCAATCGTGCTTGCCATGATAGTGCAGCCTTGTTTCTGGCTTGGAGCGGTTGTCTCCCTTAGACATTTTTACAGCTTTCACAAACTGTGTATTTTGTATTTTTGGGGGGATTGTTGTTTTTACATACGCTACTTTTTCTGATTTAATTTGAGGGAAAAGTCCACCACATTGCTAAATTAAGACAATATTCTAGTTTCTATTTTATTTCACACTCTGTCGAATGTATCAACCAAAGCTTTCTGCACTTTTCTGTTTAAAGAAAAGCACCGAGCTTTATCAAAGATTTCTACTTGTTTGACCTTGACACTGGTTCTTGAGGAGGACGGAGCAAAGTACAGCTGATGGGTGAGTCTGGGGGACGGAGAGAGACAGGCTGTGTGTGTGTGTGTGTGTGTGTGTGTGTGTACGTGTTTACCCAGTCCTCAATGGCCCTTTTCTTCTCTAGTGACGTCATAGGTGACAATCTATTGACAAGGCATGCATGCAGAATGTAGCCCGTGGTATTTATTATTGTTATAAGAGATTTAATTTGAGACCGGTATGTGAAATATTCTCCTGCTACAGGTGCGTAATGGTTTGGGCATGAAGGAAACAGGTTTTGGTTTTTCCCGTGGGTGTGTGTGTGTGTGTGTGTGTGTGTGTGTGTGTGTGAGGGTGGTCGTGTGTCATCGTCGTGTGTGTGTGTGTATGTATATGTGTGTGTGTGTGTGCGTGAGTGTGTGTGTGTGTGGATGTGTGTGTGTGTGTGTGTGTGTTGATGTGTG